TCTACTGTAACTCTGTCCACGTTATTTCTCCATGTTTAAAAAATAAAGTAATATTGAAATTATTGCTGTAACAARTGAGGACTATAAGCAATCACTCTACTCAGATTCTTTTCAGGAAGGCAAATGTTCCTTACTAAAYGCTGCCTTACTAAATGCTTGCTATGGCAAGTTTTAAAGCTGCATTTTCCAACCTTTTGGAGTCCAAAAAAAGTCCATGGCATTCTAGGATAAGGATACCACATTGGCCTGTAGGGGAACTGAGAAACTGTTTCAGAACTACCAAAATGAGGCAGTGGTTATTAAAATAGAAATCAGTCTTAGATAAAGGAAATCTTTAGCAGGTTGACATATGCTCTCTGAGATGTGTGCTTTTGCCTAAAAATTTATACAGGTAATTCTGCAAATATGTTCCAGAGTTGCATTTCCTTGCTTCTCAATAGTGTCCCTGTGTTGCAGCATTCAAAATTGTTTCCCAGTGCTTTTAAGGAAGCTCCTGAACTGAAAATAGTTGGAGGTTGGAAGTGTTAGGGAATAATAAAATACTTACTGCTTGTATTCTTCCCTGAGCTGCTTATGGCTGTTTTTAAACAAATTAGAGCGCTTAACTGACCCTTTTGGCTGTATGAGGATTAAACTGTCTTTCTGGCGCTTTCAGGTGCTTGTAACTTTAGCAAACCCACCATGTTGGTTTTGTAAATGGGCTTGTAATGTTTAGCAGACCAGGCTGAATTTCCATATAGAGTGTGYTAAACAAGATTATCTTGACCTTCATCAGAGTGGGTCCTGTCTTTTTTTTTTCTGAGTAAGGTTGGGTGTCTTATCCTCTTAATGTTTCTGATGTCTGTGAAAACATGCTGTACATCTAGCAGCATTTTGACTGTTTTGTACCTTAGAAGTACCTCTTAATCCCTTTATGATCTTTTCTATACTCTGACCAGTTTAAGTCTTCTGAAATTATTTGTGTGTACTCACCTTTGTAGAGTTTGGGAGCTAAATCCTTTGTCTCCCACGCACCTGTCTTCTGAGCAGGTATACCTGAGCAATGAGGTGTTCTTTGCAGTGGAGTCACACATGCGCAATGGTCTTCTGGGAGTGAGGGAGTGATTCCTCTTGAACTGTTTTAACTGCTAGCTTTGCTATAAAGAAAGGCAGACTTGGCTGTCTCCGTTAGGTAATTCGAACATAAAGTTGGACCATAGCTGCGGGAGTAGTGGGAGTGATGAGAGCAGAGAAGATGGGGTGTGCCATTTTGGTCTTCTGGAATACACAGCTACTGTTTCACAATTGTTTTGATCTTGAGAACACTAAAGAGGCCAAAACTTGGCATCCTTAGAAATTTTCTGTTGTTTGTCTGCAGGCATTTATAGTGACCACGTCCCATGATGCCACCTGCCCTGTAATAACCTTTTCGGTTAACCACAGCATGGTTACGTCTRTTGATAGGTGCTTATTACAAGTAGGCTGGCTAGCAGTTTCTCTTCCTCACTACATTCAAAGGTCATTGCTATTCCTGGGCTTGAAGGTGAGGTAAAACTTGTCTGGAAACATTTAATGGAAGCATTTTTCTTTTGTTTCCTCTTGGCTGAATTCTGCAGCTTTACTTGTTCACTTGGCAGCACTATGGAAAAGGGTCTCTTTACCTTCATCTTTGGAGTAACATAAACTCAGCAGTAGAAGTAGACAAGCACATTTCAATGTAATACTCTGTCCATTTTTTGAACATGAGTTACCAGCATTAAATCTTATTCAGAGGCATGGGAAGGGCAGTGATCACTTGTAAGTAATACAACTCAAGCAATCTTAGTCTTTTTTTCTGCATGGGAATAGGGATAGGGATGCAGACTTCTGAGTCTAATTGGGGTTATGATGTAAAATTTGGTTTGCATAAGCCAGAAAAAAATACAGGTGTGTGAGATTCTGCAGTCTCTTTTTTCAGTAGACTACTGTAATCTGCTTGACTGTTAGCCTCTTCAGAAAAGACTGGATGTCGAGGTATCTTAGATCACTTTTCTCATAGTTTGATTATCTTTTATTAAGTGAASATGAATTGCTGAACTTTTTCTGCTGATATTTGCACCTTTCTTGGCATGTGAGTGCAATGTCAACCAGCCATAGCTTTTTATCCCTTATAGTTTTTATAGTTTTTTTTTATTATTTAGTTTTTATAGTTTTTTTATAGTTTTTTTTATAGCTTTTATCCTCATAGTTAAGTCACATTTGTATTTACAGTGTAGTCATTTAGGTACTGGAGGATGTGTCTTCTGGCCACTTAGAGACGGAAACATCTGAAAACTACATGGAAGGAAAATCAACATATGAAAAACAAAAATATGGAAGGCTGCTTGATACTGTGACTTACCACACAATTGTGCAGGTGCTAGCTGTCAGCTCTTGGTCTTTGTAGAATCTGATTAACACCACGTACATTTTTGATAGCATTACCCCAGGATGTGCTAGTGGCTTCAGGTGTTAATGGTAAAAAAAAGGTTGAGTATCTGAGGATCTCAGGGATATATCTTAGTGTGTTCCCTTGGATTCAGACTGTAAAAGCAGTGGGATCAAAAGAGAATAGAGCACAGAGGGAAATATGTTTGAGGAAATGCTTCAGTTCCAGGGTTAGTGGAGATTTGTATAGTTGCTAAAATGAATTCCTAGGCTGTAATGCTTGGGAGTTTATTGTATTGTATGCATTGCTGTAAAGCCTATCTTCAGTAGGCTTTATGTATGTTGATGTATTTTAATGTTAATTACTTGCTAGCTGTATTTTTTCCTRCTTTTTAAAAGGGTAATTTAAAGCTAATAGATGTGCAAGCCCAGCCTAACAGTCTATTGATCAGATTAGAGGTAGTCAACTTCTATATATAAAGGCATAAAAAGTTTCCTTTCCTTTACACTACACTGCCAAAATGAGCAACCTAATTTATCCAGTAGTAGTAATCAAGAATTTTTATGTTTAGCCTTAACTAAGCAATGAATGCTCATTTAAAACTGTTCTACAAAGATGGGATTGATTAAATGTGATATAATCATCCTTATGTTCATTTTTGTTGCTAGCTTTCACATGACTGGATTGAGTGCTAGTTTCATCAGCAAAAAACAATGTTTAATGCTTATATATGGAATCTCAAAATTCATAACTTGATTTTTACAACTGCACTTTAAGCACTGCTTTACATGGTGGTTCTTTGTAGTGAGATTGCTTTTCAACACTTTGGTGAAGCACCTTTTTCTAAAATTACTTTTAGTAGAGCTGTGTACACTCTGGGAATCCTTTGGTAGGGGGCCCTAGAAAACCAAAACCTTTGGCTGTAAAGATCAAGTTGAGATGCATTTGTGTCTAACCTTGTTGCTTTTTTKGAATATTTCTACGTTTTTAGATAGTACGTGTGCATACAGAGGCACACCTGGAAGAGCCTTATCTGACCGATAAGGTCTTGTAATGTTTATCTTACATGCAGGCAAGATGCAGGTGAGTAAAATACTTGAGTTGACTGAAAACATGAACATTTAGATCAGATGCTAAGAATGCTTCTGTACTAAATGATGTCTCTGCTGTATTRCTTAGCATAGGAAAGAATTTAGGGGAAATTAGTCCTGCTGTGAAGGCTTCTTGAGTGTCTTGTGCCTGATCTTGCCTGCATGTAAGATAAACATTACAAGACCGTATTGGTCAGATAAGGCTCTTCCAGGTGCACCTCAGTATGCACACGTACTGTTGCATTCACAAGGTGTGCAGTCRTCTGAATTACACTCCCAGCTCCTGTAGGTGAACCAACAACCTATTTCCATGAGTGCCAAAGGGACCTAGGATAAGTGGTAATCATTTCCCTGTTGCTGTCATCAGAGAGTCATTTTCCTACTTAACCCAACAGGGGCTAAGTTTGAAGTCCATAAAGATGAGGGCTGGGACTGTCACTTCAGTTGTCTGGCACCAGTTAAAACTATAACCTTTAAACTGAGGTTCTTGTTCCAGTCTTTTAATTGCTTTTCAAGATTTGAGCACTGACCCTGCCCTTTTACTCCCTATGGTTGTCCTTTGACTGTAGGGTAGGGTTTATGTAAGTAATGCCTAGAATAGGAAGCTTTWTACTAACAGGTGACTGAGTATGTCTTAGTAACTGGGATGTGTCTCAAATACAAATTAAACTGCTTATTTCCAAGTGGTCCTGAATCAATGTCATAAACTTCTACTCCAAAATTACTTCACATACAAGGCATCCTAGTTTGTTGGACAGGTCTGAATCACTCTGCTCTGAATACTATAATGGATGAGTTCGACAGACAGAGGGATTTAAATTGGGGTATGTCAATGAGAAAAACAGGTTAGAGTCAAATTAAGTGAAATTAAAGTGTCTTGAGAAAAACAGWTAAATTTAGAAATCAAATTCAATGTGTTGTTCTTTTTCCTCTTACGTAAATGTTTAAAAGAAACCAAATTGGACAAGTGCCAATGAAGTACTCTCCCTGCATTTTGGTTATGCAATATTGTAAGCATGTCATGCTAACACAGCACCTAAGTAACTGAAAAGAAGCTTGTTTCAGACTAAAAATTAGCAATATTTTCAAGTCTGTTTTTTAGCCAGAAGATGCCATTCCAGAAGAATTAGTTTAACTTCTATGTGATAAAAATGTCTTAATTTTCAGGCTTTGCAGTCTATATGATTTGAAGTCTTAGTACTAGAAAATATTGTTAGTGGACTTTTGTTGTATGCCTTCATTCCTATGCATATTGTCTTATGTATTTTTCACATTGTGTCTAAGCATCCAATGAAAGCATTTGTACAAAGAGATTGCAATGACATTGTCTTGACTTAGTTGTATAAGATTGGATGTTAACTATAGTTTTCACTTTTTTTACAACTCTTGGTTGCCTTTTACATTTCATTCCTGAAGTCTGTAATCCATCTGGTTAGGTGAATAAGTGCATTGCTAAAAAAGCAGWTAGTAGTGAGATGCTGACTTGTGAGCTGTATTTAACAGTCACTTGCAATTATTTATAGGTGCTGTTGGTGAGCAGTAGCCGATATCCAGATCAGTGGATTGTACCAGGTGGAGGAATGGAACCAGAAGAAGAGCCAGGGGGAGCAGCCGTGAGAGAGGTGTATGAAGAGGTAACAAAACCAAAACAGAGCAGAAAATCTAGCTGATCTTTGCTGCTGTTATCTTAAGATGGGAACCAAGAAGGAAGAGGGAACTGGCTCCTTTATCCAGTATTTGACTGAGACCTTCATGGTTATGAAATTCAAAGAACTGAAGTTCTGGGTGTTAGAACTTGGATGTAGCATGGTGAGGTGAACTAATTAACTTGGCTTCTTCCCAGCACTTTTTCATTTCACAGCGAAGTTCTGTCTGCCTTTATAAACATGTGCTGCAATAGAACTGTGACTTYGTGCCAGATGACATGTTATAGTAGTGTAACATTTCTGTGTTTGTGGAGAAAATGTTTGACTTGCAGCTCTTCTAGAATAAAGTGAAGGTAAATTAACCATTAATGTGTAGCTGCGTAAGAAAGAGAAATAGAGACCTTTGAGGACATTGCAAACTAAACAGATTAGAAACTGTGACAAGTTGGGAATTCATACGTTTAAGGCTGTGTATCTGTAAAGGAAGCACTATAGTTATAGTCTGCCTTTCTATCTCTGCCCCTATGCCTAGGCAAAATAGAGCTGTAAGTCATTATGAATTCATGCAGTTTCCCAGTCTACTAGAGCATTTTTTTTCCGTAGAAAAACTGTCAAAAATTTTGTGTTACATTAATATCTAACAGCCATGTCTAAGCCAAATAAAACTGCAAGAAAAATCAGAATATCACACTTTTAAATAGAAGGTATAGGATTTTTCAGAAAGTGCATTCTGGTAAGTGAGTGAACTACAGGATTTCTACTAGTCTTAAAAAGTTTTCTCATCCCATTTTGCTATTCACAAAATGTTATTGCTAATTAGTATGTGCAATGATTTTTATTAGCTATACTGTCTAGTATAGCTAATAGTGGTTTATCTTGCTTGCCCTTAAGGCTGGTTCTGTTGTGGTGTTGTGGCTTAGGAGCTTGATGTAGATGTGACTTGCACTGAACAGTGCCTGTTATTCAGTGTCAGAATGAGATCTGGACTGTGATTCAGTGACCCTTCTCACATTTTGCTTGGGGAACAGACTAATTCGCTGAAGGCTGTTCTCAGCAGCTTTCCTGCAGCGAGCTTCAAGCATAAATAAGCCTCATTGAATCAAAGTTATTCCAAACTGTGTTCAGTTTCGCTGGAGGAGCCCATTTTGACCTACACAAGACATACTCAGCCACAAGGTGCAGTCCATGTGAAAGGAGCAAAGAGTTAGGATTCTAGGAATGAGTCAGCAAAGATTCAGGCTTCCAAGCAGTAGCAACACCCCTAGGGAAAGTCTTGAGTTCATGAGGAGTAAAAAGCATAGTCCTCTGCTCAATGTTTTTGTGAATACTGGTAATGTTAATTGTTGATCTGACTTAAGGCATAGTCCAAGATGAGGGATAGTAAAGTCTCATCTCCATGTGAAATTAGAGCTGACTGAACTGTAATCATGTTTGGTGTTTTTTTCTTTGGTGGTGAAGAACGAATGATCTTGAGGGGACTACGCTTTTTTTTGGTGTCATGGAATACGATACAGAGTTCCAGCCCTGTTCAGCTTTGAGCTGTGCGTGCAAATGCATAAAGAGTTTTCACAGACAAGGGGCTTTAATAAGCAAAAATAATTTTTGTGCCAYCTGTTCTACACCCTCAGAATTTCTGGAGCGTAATAGCTTGTATAGCTGATTAGTCTTAGAAGTTCGTGGCTTAAAGTAAAATACTCTTCAGCTACAGGCCGAGTCTTACATGCTTCCATGAGATTTTCAAGTGCCATTTTTAAAGAAAAAAGAGTGGTATTTAGGGGTTTGAGCCATGGAAATTCACACTGATCTTTCTAAAGATGGACGTCCTTTTTATTTATATACTAAGGTCAATGTCACCTGGCAAGCTGGTTACAGTACAGTGAACTGTTAAAGGGTTTTGTGAATGAATAAACTTCAAAGAAAGCAGTGTTACTGGTTTGAAAGTGTGTTACTTCAGTATTGGGTCATGYACAAACTAAGCACTGGTCATTTATTAAAATGTATAAATTCATAGTGGGAGTTTTAATGGCATTTCTTAATGGTAGAAGTGTTGATAGCTCAGTACCTTTAAATGTCCCTCACTTTGATACCAGCAGTATCAAAGAAGAATCTTTGTTTTAAAACTCAAAGATCTCTGTAATCAAATGTATGTGGCAGTTGTTTCATCGGCTGCCTGTGTAAATGACTGCAGATTTTTTTTTATCCTTCAATTCTGTTCATGTTAGTTAAATGGGCTTTTACTTCTACGGTATATTTAGTATGTTTCACTGAAGTTTGTCTGACATTTCACAGGTTATAGGACATTGACAATTATCTTCATTATTTTGATACAATAAACTTCTACAAACCTGGAAGCAGAATACCAAAATGTAGTCACAATATAAAGCAATCCCAGAAAAGGTATTGAACCTCATCTAAAGTAGTAGAGGAGTAAAGAGTAGTAGAGTAGTAGTAACTCTGTTAATGAATTTGGAGCTTTGACTTTAGTTGCATAGCATGAAAGATGGCAATAACTTGTTTGCATATGCACTGTTCAAAGAAAAATGACACAAATGAGTGGCAAACCAGTGATGCCCAGCTTTGAAAGTGGAGGGACACCCTCCACTCCCTTGTCTTTCTTAATCTCACAAAAAACAGAGACTCTTGCTTTGTTTGTCTTAGTAGTAGTATATTGAAATGCCTGTGAGAAAATCTGCAATTTCACCTAGACCTGTGTGGATATAATTTCTGAGAAGAGGGTGATCCTGAAAATTAGTTTGCTGCAACAGTGAAAATGGCAGTAATATTATCTAAGACCTCACACAGGAAATAGAGGAATTGGCTCCAGTGAGCATCTAATACTTGAAAAATGGTTGGGTGTTACAGACTAGAACAAGTTAGACACTATAAAAATAAATTATTGAAGCAYATTCTCAGCTGCAAGATTAAGGCAGATGTAGTCAAACATTTTGTTTTATAAAAGTATGCAAAAAAGAGGCAGGAATAGTCTTGCCACCATCCTTTCAGGAGTGTAGCCATTAAAATACTATCCTACAGATGCCAGAGTTAAAAATAATTCAGATCTTTCAGATCTTAAGCAGCTTGCTGCCCTGGTAGACTGTTAGCTTAAAAATTAAACTGCAGTATGACTCTTGCTCCATCTGCAGGAAACAGGCACATCTGACACACATCTGAGACTGCAGTACCTCTAGAGCTGCCAACAGGAATGACCTCCAGGCCAGAATGATTATGGGATGAAGTGGATCGTTTTCTCTCTTATGCTTGGATTTAGGCTAATGCTAAAATATATGCATAAGATTCAGATCTGAGATCTTATTTGCATAATACTCAGACTTCTTTAGGGAACCCTTCTGGGAAAGTGTAGCACTTAATTCAATAGCTTGTCTGTCAGAAGAAAGCTGGGTTTTTTGAGGCTTTTCTGCCAAGCTTTAGACTGCATTACACACTTACAGAAGCCTATAACATTCTGTTTACTTGATGAAACATATTTTAACAGCCATACATACATAAAGGCCAAGGGAAGAAGAATGTCTTTATGAAAGGCAAAATGTTCAAAGTCTGGAATTTAACCACTGCATTGGATTAGAATCTTACCAGTGGAAAAGGGGGAACTTCTTTTGCTGTTCTGAGGATAAAGGTGAAGTATTTCTTGGTTSTCTAGCACTTAGTTATGACACATTTTGAAGGAACTACATCATTATAATAAATTTTAAGGAAATGTTTTCATTAGCAATAGCACTTAAAAGATCACTGTTAAATTCAAGGTACTTTTCAAACTATGAAGTTTATTCAGTTTAATATTGTTTTCAGGGAAAAATTCACAAGACTTTGAATTACTACCTTTTTAGACTTTTGAGTGTAGAGGTTTTCAAAATACAGTCCTGTCTGAAGGAATGATGCCACATTTTGGAAACTTGTATCTTTGACTAGACATCCATGTCTGTAATCACATTTACCTATGGACATCTGGTTGCACCAGAGCTTCACTTCAAGCTTTGGGGAATTTTTTCACCTATTGTAATGGAGTGCTTGTAATTGTTTCATTCAGAATTGCTCAGCTAGGAGTATTTGTTTAAAACACAATTTGCTTGGGGGGAGAAAAGAGAAACTTAACTTAAGAAAGCAGAATAAGTTTGTACTCTTTTAAAAATGTTCTGCTTTTCAATTTTGAAATGATAATGTAATGCTGAGGAAATTRGGGCTGGTCAGTAAAACTAAAACATTTCTTCAGCATTTTCCTTTTGGCTAGTAAGTGCTTTTTCATTACCCAGTATAAAGCASAAGCAATCTTTAGTGCCTGCTGTGGCATAGCTTACTCTTTCAGCCCGAAATAAGGGCCTGTTACATTCCTAATTCCTAATTAATGTGCTGCTTAATCACTTATCTAGCAGGTCCAGTTGTGTATTTTTGGCCTTATAACTCTAGTAGGTATCTTGGTCATCACAGCAGACAACCAGAATATTGCATGTAGTTTTGCATTAACTTTTGGTCTAGCTCTTGCTCTGGATAAGCAAAATGCCTGATAATTTGCACAGGCTGTGATCAGGTATTCTTCATCAAAATGGTTTAATAAATAACACCAGCCATCTGCTTTCTTTAAAAAGACAGTCACAGAAAACATGCACTTGGAAGACTGATTAGGCTAAAGCCTGCCCAGTTCTTTGTTATTCATTAAAATGTAATTAGGATCCATATGGTCATTTATATAAAGGCATAAAGACATCAGTAACTGTCTTCGGCTAAGGCTGGAAGCAAAGACTGAAGATTAGAAAATGTCACCTTAGCACTAAGAAACCCTATTTTAAATACTGGTTATACAACAAGACAAAAACAATCTAAAGATGGCTTTGTTTGCCAGTAGACAACATATGCCTTTGTCTCAATCATATGGACTGAGTTTTGTTTGGAATTAATGGATGATCATAAGCAATATCCTTTGGGAAGAGGCATTATATATTTCTTTTGGAAAAGCAAACCTTGGAGACTTAGTATAAAGTAATAACCATCTTACCTGAATTGATAAAAATCACAAAGCACAGGCTGATACACATAGGGATTATTTTAAAATATTGGAGTAAAAATCTGAATTGAAAACCTTTTGTAAYGTTACTAGCTAGACAAAGAGTTCAAAACTGCAGAGAATTGAGGATWTAAATTTGGGGTTTATATTACATGCCAAAAGCTACTTTGATATGGAAACTAGCACACAAGAAGGCATTATGCTGCAAGATCCATGCAATAATCTGCAGTTTTATTTATTATTGTATTTTGAAGACTTGTACTTAACTTCCTTTGTGAAATAGCATTAGAGTTTCAATGATTGCTTCTCTAGATTAATTATTATATTACTTTAAAGTCTCTTGTCCTATCTACTTTCCTGTATTATTTCAGTATTGGATATCATTTATCTGTTTAATAAAATACAGTACACTAAGAATGTGGTAAGTGATAGAGTATTTTGGTCTGGATGGAAACATTGAAAGATTTGTGGATTCTTTGATCCACTYGTTAAGAAAAGCTTTTGTACTCTAATTCATAAGGAGTCTAAAACCAGAAGTTCCAAAAGTAGTGCAGCACTGTTTAATGAAAATTTAGGTTAAAACTCTTATTTAAATAACCCTAATAAGGAGGAGTGTGCTGATGTAGGAGGATGGTACTGACACTTCAGAATTTTTTTTTTTGGTTAATACCACATGCTAACCCTTTTTCCTGTTTTTTTTTTTCCCTAGGCTGGAGTAAAGGGAAAACTAGGCAGACTACTTGGGATATTTGAGGTGAGCTATTTCTTTTAAGTTCTAAAAAAAATGGTTTGTTTGTCAGATAAACTGCAACATCAGACTTAAGTTCATAAGTATTACCTACCTATAATTTTGTGGTGTTACTGGATCTGCTACATTAGACAGGACTTCAGGCGTTACATGATATATGAAGATTTGAATAGGAAGAGTTCAAAGTACTTAGACCAGTTTCCCAGAATCACAGAATGTTCTGTGTTGGAAGGGACCCACAAAGATCATAGAGTCCAGCTCCTAAGTGAGTGTCTTGTACACGGATCAAACCCACGACCATGGTGTTATCCAGCACTAGGCTCTGACTGAGTTAATCTCAGGTCATTTTGGACCATTACTGGAAAGATTAAATTAGTACGCCAAACAAAAAAAAAAAACAAAAAAAAACCACCAAAACCAAGAAACCAAAACCATTGAAAACCAAACCATCGATAGATTTGAGATTTCTGAAACATTATACCAGCCTTCTTTGAGGTGCTGTTTTGACTTTTCCTCCCTGGTTAGATTTTGCTGAAGTAATTTGTCAACTTTCACACATTGTAAATTGATGGGTCTSTATATGAATTCTCATTATGGCTTCAATTCACTAAAAAAGACCAAAGCTTTGGATAAGAGACAAATCTAACCTTTAGCAAGCTGTGTAGTTCAAAACATCTATTTGATAGTAGAAACATCATACTGAACTACCAGTAGCACAAGGATACATGCTTGCTTAGAACTCTTAGTATTGGAGTTGCCCAGTTCTAGACAGGAGCAGACTGTAGTGTTACTCCTCAGCTTGCAATGCATCCAGTGTTACTATGTTGTGCTGGATGTTAAGTGGAAGTCCCTTAGTCTCAGTTATGTGCAAATCTTCACTCAGCTTTTAGAGGCAGTGTATTCCTGACAGGTACTTCCTKTGTGAAATATTACTTAGTCATGTGTCCCACTGTGTGAAGAATGGAAGCCATGACACAATCAGAGAAGCTCCTGTAGCCTATGATGCTTCGTTKTTAGTAGTACTCAGATTTTTCTGATGTTTTGGGTTTGAGTTGAACTGGGTGATCCTATACATTAAAAACCTGGCTGTTTTGACTCTGCTGGTCAGTCTACAAAAGTATTCTCCGTTTCCCAGCTCAGACCAAAAATAACGCAAGATACCTATCATGTTGTTTCCTTAAGACAGGGGCTACAAATCATGATGATTCATTGGTAATTCAGACTTATCTTCTTCTGAAGCCATCTACACTTTCTGAAGCTTACTTCACTTTCACAAAAGGGCCTCACAAACTCTTGTTAGTCCCATTGAGGGGGCCACACCTCGTGGCCTGGGGTTGGAACTAGGAGAAGATGGATATAAATGCTGCTGCTGAGTCCTCCTCTTCTAGAACCACAGCCTGAAAGGATACACGTTACAAATAAATTGGTCCTATTTAATGGTGATACTGATGAAGAACTCTTGGAGAGTTTTTATTTCCTAGTAAAGCACAACAGCTCAAAAGAATATTAACCTTGTAGTGAAACAAGAGTTAAATAGGAAAGATTACTGGCACAAGGATACAGCCATCTGTAAGCGGGGCTAGGCCAACAACAGCTCTTGGTTCTTAATATAGTTGTAATCATAGATGGTCCTGGGYTTTTTTCCAAGGGATAGGATGGTCTGATTAGTTGGGAGCAGGTCTGCTTTGGAATAGCAGGAGTAATATCTATACCAACCTTGCACAGACTGGCTGTAGCATAGTGGCCTTGCCCTGAGCAGATAGCTCTGTCACACTCTGTATTTGGCCTGCCTTGTGCAAAACATGTGATTTCTAAACACGTGGTTGGTGCTGCCATCATGGCAAATGTATTGAACGAGCAGATGGCAACGATTTTTGCATTTGTCATGACTGCAAGCATAGGGTATTTAATTTGCCTCACTCATGGAGTGAAACTTTATAGCCAGCATTGTGTAGGTGACATGGCCACATGATGCAGTGGTTCCATCTTGCAAGAAGTGTTTGGGTTTTTTTTAAATGACCTTTCATCTGGGAAATGAGCTGCGGTAAGTTTTAGCAAATGTGCTCTACTATGGTAACTTGCATCATATGTAAAAGATAAGTATTAGTACTTACCTAGGGCAGTACTAGTGGACAACTGCTAATATTCAGCTGGATGACCAAGAACATACCTTGGTCAGAACTTCACAATCTTCAAAATTGTTTGTGTTGTCTGTGGTTTGGTTGGTTTTTTTCAGTCTAGTAAAACAGAATAGCTGTTTCAAATAAAACTTCCGTTTTCCTATCATTTTGGGTCTCAGTAGAGTTGTTTAGTGAAAGTAAAAGCCAGGCTTGCTGGCAACTACTGTTTAGAGGTCAGTAATTTCTAATCTTATAGTTGTGCTAAGTCTGTAAGTTATTTAGATGAGAATTTAAATTTCTCCTTCTAATATTCAAGCAGAACCAGGATCGGAAGCATAGGACATACGTTTATGTTCTTACTGTGACGGAAATACTGGAAGACTGGGAGGATTCAGTTAATATAGGTAAATTAATTCTCCTTATATGCTACATTTAAACATTAATTCTCCTTATATGCTACATTTAAACATCTTTTAAGCCAACTCTTTCATTTTTCTGAAGCAATTTGTGTAATTCAGGGGCAATACTAATTCTGTTCGAGAAAGAGTCAAAGATGCTGTTCTTGCACACTTTAATACACATAACTAGGGTTGCTTCCAACATAATTGTGTTATACTTAGAATACTCTAATTAATATAATATGATAGAATAAACATCACTTAGTTAGGGATACAGCTTATTATTTTAAAGGCCAAATAATATACTGCCAAGTTGTTTTTTCCATAAGAAGTAGTATGTTTTGCTCTCTGATACTCTAGGGTGTCTTTGAAAGTGTCCTTGATCTTAAACAACTGGTTTATGTATGTTCAAGCATAGTACTTGTAATGCTGTAAAATCAAATGAAAAACAGAATTAATCCCACTTTTAACAATATTATCATTGACCTTGTCTCTATGTATTTTGAAAGATARTAAATTTTACAGGACCACCTTGTAAAAGTTAGTCTTAATCTGATCTTAGTAAAATTCAGTCTTGAAACTTACATAAACTTGTCTCTTGGTACAAAGTATACTGTTGTTTTAAAACTTACAGCTAACCTGAGTAATTCCATCTATGGATGCATRTGGAGGTTTTGAGTATGGAACATGGCTTCTGAAATCACACAGAGCCGTTCTTCATGCATGCATGTTCAGTCTAAAAACTGGTTTTCTGCTAGGTGTGACAGTGTAGAATGACAGTATCGAGTCATTTAAATAGTATCATACTTTCCTCTAATGACCAGATGTGGCTTTTGCAGCATATGAACAGTCATATGAGTTTCTGTCCAGTATCTGCTTCAAGACAGTTATCTGAAAGGCTTTATTATGAGCTGCATTTTAGTAAGCTTCAGTGAACCTCTTGCATTCATCAGTTCTTTCAAGGTCTTTTCATTTTCTTTTGCCTGACAACTTCAACTTGTAAAACACTGAGAAAAGCAAACAATAGTGCTGTTAAAATTTTATAACTCTGTTCTTCTTTGTGGATTGTACTCATTCAGGAAGGAAAAGAGAATGGTTTAAAGTAGAAGATGCAATCAAGGTCCTTCAGTGTCACAAGCCTGTTCATGCAGAATACTTGGAAAAACTGAAACTGAGCTGTTCACCCACTAACGGAAACTCTGTGGTTCCCCCTCTTCCTGATAGTAACTCCTTATATGTCACTTCTGCACAGACTTCTGGGTTGCCCTCTACTGTGAGATAAACACTTGGATTACCTTTTTATTTGTGTCATCACAACAGGAGATATCTGTGATCACATGTAGGCATCTGTATAACTGTCAGTTCTAAGTGAAATATGTCCTTGTGTCATAATGTCAAATTTATTTGAACATGTTTTTGTTTTAACAATGTAAGATAATATTTCAGCAAACCAAAGCCATAAAGGGATTTTTTTAAGATGCCTTAATAGGCCATTAAAAAAATGAAACTTGACTATATAAATTTCCATATCTGCTAAAATAAAATATGCATCTCAGTGGTGTTCAGCTTTTTTAAAACTTGTAAGTTTTAGTCAGTAGTTAAAGCTTGAGCAAATAGTCCTATACTAAACTCTTATTTGGTATCCGCATACAAAGTGCTAAGATCTTAAGCTGGCAGTATTTGGGTAAATGGACGTGTCAAAGGCAGGACGCACAAGGGTGACTGAAATAAAGCACTAAACCACATTCAGCCTGCCAAGAGCAAAGGGTACTGACACTCAGCACTGCTTGCCTCAGTTATCCAAAAGGTTGCCTTGTCCTATGCAATCTTCATCTAACATATAACTAGGGCAAGAACAATAACTTTGTCTTGCAGCTACCAAAACAATCCATTAGACTTCTGTTTCATCACTTGGTCAGCTGATGAACTGTCAGAAGATTTGTGTGAAAAGCATTGTAGATCTCTCGTCCCCCTATTTTTTTCCTTTCAGCCTTGATACATATTTTGTTCATGGTGTGATTAAACTGCAGGTTCCAGAAACTTCTAATCTTTAATTAGAAGATCTCATGTAGTGTTCCTGCAGTCTATTGTAATTTTAAACTGTTTGGACGAAAGTAAGACTTAATCAGGGGGTACCCTTAGATTGCAGAGGTGTCTATTAGCAAGCATGTGTTGAGATGTCTTGCCCTGCAGGAGCCAGCAGTGCTACCTGCAGTGCTTGGGACAGGAGCGTTGATACCTGTGACACCAGTAGAGAAATAGTACTCCCTTGTCTTATTAGACGGTATTCTGAAACCCCCCATTTTAAGTTAATTCTTAAATCCTTCAGTTCTACTGTTTTAACATCAATTACTTTAGCTTCTTCAAATAAAAGCTGGCCTCTTGGTAAAAATACAGTTGGAATAAATGAGGTACAGCTGACAACTTCCCTGTTCTAATTATTTTCTCCTGCTTTTTATCCAAGAAGATGAAAATTAAATCCACTGTTGGTCTTAATGTTTTTACCATAGGGATTACTCTGTCTGTATGTGTGTGTGTGCATGGTTTCTTCTACAAGAACACAATCTAATTCACATGAACATCCTATTTCTGAATTTTTTCTAGGATCTATCCAACTGTACCTCCTCTGTATCCAGCCAAAACAGGTCGAGGTAGACTGCTACCTCACATGTGAAGTTTATTCTGGGTAAAGCTCATTCTCTTATACAACATTTGAACCTTTGTAAATAGTCCAGCTAGTAAATAGTGAGTGTAAAATGGAAAATAAATGTAATTTAAACATTTTGTTACTCAATACACAAATGGTTAACTTCTACTTTTTTAACACAAATTGTGTAAAATGCTGCTATGAATTTTTTTGTGCTGTTACACTTTTTTAGGGAAGAAATCTTGTTGCCACAAGTTACTCCTAGAAAAACAATCTTGTGCCGTATGTAAATGCAGTGAAACTAGGGAGACAGATGATCTGATCTCTTAATGCTGCTCTCTTTGAAGAGGCATAAATACTACTGACACGAGGCATGAGCCACGAAGTTGAAGACTTCTGAAACGGGTTAGGACACTGGTTTCCATCCCTCTTAGCTCCTAGTCCAGGTCACTCCCAGAACTGGAAAGAGCACACAAGAGTTCAGGTGCACCTAAAGGTGGAAGTACTGCCAACAGCTTTTCCATCCTTCCAGCGATGAGGTGGGAGGCTCAGGAAGGAGCATTGCTATTTCATTAGTGCACACGTGGGGTATACCTGCTTTACACTGAAATTCCAGACTGGGACACCATTTGCTCAGATCACTGCTTTAAACTGAATGGTCTTTCAAATGCACTGTTTTGCTAGGTGAAACAGGAGAAGGTGGGGTTGAGCATGATGTGAATGTCTAATCTTTGTTAAAATTATACTGATGGTGTGGAAGGGTACCTCTGGCTCCAAAGCTGCCTTTAAAAGAAGGAATCATTCAGCTCCCTTTTTTGATGACTAATGCTCACTTTTTTGTTCAGTAGTTATTTTAACTTTAAATTGAGCAAACTTGTATAGGTTTTYTTGCAACAAGATTATATCAGAGCTAAAACAGAATCCAGAGTTTGAGTTCCTACTCATTAAAAAAAACTGCTCTGTCTACGTTTCAGATTCTTGGAATGAAATCTAGGCTTAAATGAGATTTAGTGGTAATGCATGATTTAAATTTGTAACTCTTGAATTATGTATTTGATAATAATGTAAAATGTACAGTATTGCTGTTGCTAACAGACTCAGAGTTGATTACCTATCAATATTTTGGTCTCACACATTTGAGCTGTTCAGTAGTGCCATACAGATTTTTTTTTTAACAGCATTTGTTGTATAAATCTCTTCAGTCTCTATGCAACCTTCAGAATGAAGCTCTGTTGCTTGGTTTGACTTCTACTCCCTTTCAAAGAGAAGTGTTTTGTAAATTGCAAATGTAAACTGAAGATACTTCAGTTTTGCTACAGGAACAACTGTAGTAAAGGGACAGCAGTATGGCTTCAGTACTAATGAAATCTGACACTCAACTCCAACAGAAAAGATTGTAAAAACTGGATAGGAAGGCTACAGTTTTTTCTACTGCCTATCAAGTGTAGAAGCATTTTGTTTTTACATTAATCTCTCTTTAGATGGGCCAAACCTATTTCAAACAGARCAAATCTAGGATTTTTCTCTGTACAGAATTTTTGGCATATGTATCCAGATTTGGTTCTCCAGTGGAGAAAGGGAAGAGACAAGTTGTCATCTGCAATTGTCAGAATCTAGTTTGTGCTGTGCTTTTCCTGGCTGATAGGTTTTGAGATTCTCATGAGTTAGATGATGGTGGTGTCAAAGAAAAAGAGCCTTAAAGTTTAAAATCACATGGAGCCAGAATTAAGCAAAATGGATGTGCTTTTATACACAAGAAATCCTGAGGTATTGCAGAGAGGCTGTTCAAGAGAAAAATCTTCTTTTGGTGCTTACTGCACCCCAGACTTAGCCTAGCATTGTTAACAATGTGCTGTGAAAAAAAAAACCACGAGGGGCAGATACTTGGTTTACWTACCAACATGGTTTGTGAAGTGAAATTTGAAAGATGGGGGCTGGGGGGGGGAAGGAAACTAAGTTGTAAACATTTTGACCTGCTTGCATGGATTTTCTTTAAAGATTGATGTAAGAATTTTGACTTTTTATATTTGAGAAATACCAGAATAAAATCTAAATTAGTCCTGTGGATGATGTAGTCATTCTATTGCATGTACTGCACCAGAAGTGACTATGCAAAAGTCACTAAACTACACCATGTTTCTAAACTACACCATGTTTCTAAACTACACCATGTTTCATCTAACATTTCCTGTTTCTTGCCTCATCCTTGCACTCAAGCTTTATGGAGGTAGTTGTCTGAAAGGTTTCTTTTCCTTAACTTGACATGACACTCCCTCGCCAATACTTGACCCAGCTTCAAAATTGGTGCCAGTGCTCAGCCTGCTGCTGCAGGCCTACCTTCGCTCCTCTCCCCTTGTTTTTTGAGCCTTTCTTCCAGTTATGATGGCAAGCAGCTCTTGTGTTGCCCCTCCCCATATGACTTCTGAAAAGCAGTTACCATGCCTCCTCTTCAGCTTTAAGACAGTTTTACCACAGTCAATGAAGAGAGATACGACAAAGCACAACATGTGGCAGGAAAGGCAGAACCACTGACTTTCCCAAGACATAGAGAGGTAAGACTCTTCAAGCTTTAAGCAAAAGGTTTGGGGTTTTTTTACATTTACCCTCTTTCTGCACACTTCAGAYCTCACTGCTGCTGTGGCATTTAGCGAGGCATTGCCTTAGTTCAAGTGATGGAACCAGCAGCACATCCACAATGCTCCATGTAAGGAATGGCATCACCTCTTTCCTGCAGACTCTGCAATCACAGGCATATTCCTTCTTGTGACAATCTGCTTGCTATGGGCTGTGCACCACTACCCCAAACAATGCTCTCAGACCATTTTTTGCCCTTAAGTAAGCAGCAAATGCTGTTCAAAGAGCCATCTTAGGAAGGCTGGGGAGCACTGAATGTGGCTGCTGTGTGATCAGCTGCTGCTTGCCTCATAACCTACACTGCTTTCAGTAGCTCAATGGGAAAACCAGTTCCCAACAGCTTTCCTTCATTTGTTACCGCCGTTCTGATGGGCAGTATGAAGGAATACCTACAGCCATGCATGATGCTGGGGAAAGACCATCACCTGGTGCACTTACCCTGCTGCTGGCTTCCCTATGCTCTAGTGCCCTTTACATCCAGGCAGATTCTCTAACAGGGCTCTTGGCCTAAGGGTCTTTCAACTGCTTCACTTTCCTAAATATTTCCTTCTTTCCTGCTTTCTGGGTATGACACTAATGCAACCTGCCTTTGAATAAGGTAGACAAACGTCCACAGCAACTGAAGGAAGAAAAAACACCTTCAGATTAGTCTGTCTTTAATAATTGTGCATGGGACCACACACTTCCATAAATTTATGAATACCCAGCCTAAGGCTTCAGTGTTCCCTGGAAGAGCACTGTTATCACTCATGAGTAGCTGATGGGAAAATTACAGCAGCAGTTCTGAAGGCACAGCAGGCATCCAGGCTGAGACGAGCACACCTGCTACAGCAACAACTGAACACCACACATGAAATCTTTCAGATTTAGAAATTACCTTGGTAGGCAACATAGGTTAGGAAGGCGTGGATTAGGCCCAAACCAAAAATACTCCTTCACTGCAGCTCTGAAGACAAGAACCCAGCTGACAGCAGAGTGTCTGGGGAAAACCTTGCAACAAGTACTCCAGTGATAGAATTATTTGAAATAATTTGTATTTTCCTTCCGAAAAAAATGACCTAATAAAAATGCTTCTGTTACATGCCACACTTATCCATCTCTTTATGTGGGAAGGCTCATGCAGTGTGATAGAAACAACAGGCATTGTACCTTCCAGTGTTCAAGAATCCCCCTCCAGGGTCTCCCAATGATGGGCTGATAACAGTGACAGCTCCCTAGCAACTAACTGAGCTACCCTCTTGAGACACAATTCCCTTTCCTAACCCAGGGCAGGTGGTGGGTAGTGTTCCACTGAGTATTTCTACTGGAGCAGTCTTTACCCAGAGACTTCTATTTGCTCACACCTAACCCCTGATCTAGGTGCTGTAGGGAATTTATGAAACACCACAGATAAGGCAGCCATGCTACTTGATGCCACTTTTCTAATGCACTTCAGTGCAACATAACAATTAGACAWTTGCTTTAAAATCATCCTGCACACTTCCACAGTAAAGGCTGCAATAAACTATACAAACTCCATCCAGCAACCATGTAATTACTAACCTCGTGCCATGCTCATAATGTAACACGGTTCAGCAAAGCTCAATACATTTATCAATTTGATTGCAGTAGAAATGGTCCAAACTGTGCACGTAAGTAGGAAAGTCTTGTACTAAACCAGACAGATTTAAACAGAGACAGCCAAAAAACAAAACCAGCAAAAATACCCCAGACCAACAAACAAAACAAAAACAAAAAAAGGATGGTGGGGGGGARCCCAACATATCCTCTGAGCTGTGTACCAGAGCAGTCTCCTCTAAGGACTTTCAGGACAGAGGTGCTGTTCCTCTTCATACAATGGTGGGGGGAAGCCACAGTCAATTGAAAAGTTATGAGAGAAGTTATCAAGGTTATCTTTCTTGTTTTACCAGATGTTAAGAACTGTTAGGAAACTGTTGCACATTGATGGCAGCCCACTGCAGTTAAATGAAGCTCAGTGCCTAAGTAATGAATAATCACTCTTCCTTTTATTTCAGTGTCACATTACAGTCAAGACATGTTATTGACAAAACCTACCAGACATTTTACTTTAACCCTCAAAAAAACGCCCAAAAAACCCAACTCAAGAAGGAATGTATATAGAGATGTCACAATTTTTGATGTCACTAGTCCATTAAGATGTTCCACAATAGTTTCAATGGTAGAAATACAATTACTTGAAAGCTATTGAAGCAATGTTTCACTTGGTTTAGACTAAAGTCAGCTAAGATACAAAAAACCTGTTCCATCAGTTCCCAATAATCATATACATCATACCCATGACAGAACATGGCTACATGTGAAGAAACCACCACTGAATATTTATGCAAAACCAAAAGCCTTCCTCTTGATCTAGAGGAAACTACTGCAAAAGTATTTTGCATGTGTGGTTATAGAGCCCATGTGATAATCCAGGCTCAACAGCTACATAGTTACTACCCAAACACTGACACATAAAATGCAATGCCATCGCTCTTGCTAAGGATTTTAGGACGTTTGACACATAGCACCAGTAATGGTAGAGGAAACCCATTGATTTTAAAGTTACTGTAAATTGATCCAAGAGGCATGTACTAAAAATGGAGATAAAACTAACTCTCCCTAAAAGACAGCTGCATTTGCTAAACAACCGCAATGGCAGATGTAACAGAAATAACTGAGTTTCATGTRATAACAGTGAATATACACCAGCTTAACTTAGGAAAAGGTTCTGTCTTACTGGCTTTAAAGAATTCAGCCTAAGTTTTACACATTCCTTGGCACAAGCTGGAATGAAATTCCCAGCTTGACTTTATACAGGGCTCTGTATAAAGATTGTAAGTATTACCTCATATACATCATCTGGGTCTGGATTTATCCCGCCTATGAAGTCAAAACTGCAAGTGCCAGCTCAGGTCTTGTTTCTCTACTGAAGGAAAGGAAAGCCACTCTCAAATAGGATGCTTAGGTGGGTCTGACTGTCTTCTGGGGTGCCACTCATACTTAGGCTAGAGACAGAGCTGAGGAAAGCTGTGTATGTAGTGTCAGATAAAGTATTAAGAGGTAGGTGAAGTGAATCCAGTCTACGGCACAGCTTGTTTATTCTCAGCTGCCTGCTACAGAAGTTATCCGTGCTAGTAGCAGATCCAGGACGTAGGCCAGCTAACCCTAGACAGACATTTGTACAGGGAAGGGAGGGGTTAATGGTGCTTAGCTACTATGAAGAATATGTTACAAGCCCTGAATGCAACTTCGGCTTACATTCAACACAAGAACTACTTTTAAAACAGTTTTTTTATGACTCAGTTTGGTGAAAATGTTGAATTCTGAACCATTCTTCAACCACATTGGAGAGAACTTTGAGGGACAATACCAGTTACTAAACACTGAAAGCACTGTCTGTTGGAAAACACAGTTTTAATAGATATTCTTCATCTTACATAAGAGCACAATAAATACACCACATTCTATAGAAATTTCAGATGACACTAGAGTAAGAAGAGGTGAGAGGGAGAATTCCAATAGACTACATAACCATACCCCTGAATTGCATGACAAACATTCCCTATTGCAATCGCTACAAGCTGTCATTTATACTCCTCAGGCTAGCCTCACCAAAAGCTTTTAAGCTTTTTGTTTGGTTGGTTTTGTGAGGGAGAGGGCTTGGGGAAAGTAGAGAATAGAGGTACAAGAAATGAAGGGAAGCAATTAGATAGGTTCCCATAAAAGATACTGGACTCCTAGACAAGATGCATACACAAGAAACAAGGATGAGAAGGAATTTTTTCATCACTTTTCTTCCCTCCAGTAAAGAAGCTTTGTTGCTATTTAAGCTGACCGGTTGCTCAAGCAAGTAGCTTACTAAGGCTTGTAGAGAAAACCAGTGGTATGAGTTGCTAGCGCTAAGTGGCTAAGCAGACATCAGTCAATACATACTGGAATTTCATGTTAATAGAGGGTAGGAATTAAGTTAGAAAACCATGCTGCCTAATGGCTGATAACAATCAACAAAGAGAAGTTATGCAGATACTCATAATTAGTGCTGTCGTTTGCTCTCAACCTCCTACTTTGTTCTGGTTATTTCCATGAAAACACATATCCACGCATTACTAAAATTAAGGTTATAATTGTTACATCAGAGACTTCTTTCTAAAAGTCACTCCAAATGCAATTTCGTATTAAACTGGCCAGGTAAGGTCACCCACATAACACAAACTAAAAAAAACTCAACATACAGAAGCAAAAAAAAAACCCAACAAAACCAAAAACCAAATAAAACTTGTGAATTCCCCTTCTTTACTGGTAAATCTGTCAGACTGGTGAATACAAATTGTCAATTCTGGGTTCCATTTTTTTAAATACGATTGTCACAGAGAAATGAAAACACAGCAAAATAAACTATACAAAGGCAAAGTAGAATAACAAAAAATATTTTACTAAAACATAAGATTTACAGGAGATTTTCCAGACAAGCCATACAAAATGGTCACAAGCTTTTTCTTGGAGGGATTTTTCTACACTTGACAGCAGAATCACAACAGTATTAGTGAAGGTGATGGATGTTTAATGTTCCCATTTTTTGTTCAAACAATGAAGCTTGTCCATCTACAGCGTCTAAGTTAGACTGAGCTAGAGGGTATATTTTAAAGTATAACTGGTTAGCTGCTTTTACCAATGCAATTAGCATCACCATAAAAAGGGAGGAGGAGCCCACAAAATTAAAACAAAAAGCCCCGCAGCTAACCCTGCCTACCTTCATTCACAGTGCTTATACTTAAACCACGATGGGAAAAATGATTAAAAGCAGAGATGTGCTGCTGCTTTCAAACAATTTCACAACAATCCAGATGATACTTCTAGCCTCTGCTCATGCGGTACAATAGTGAATTAGGACAAGACACAGATTTGCTAATGTGCATTTAATCACCAAAGGACTGAAGATGTCTGGGCTTTTATTCTGTAATGTTTCTAAGACTGTGTCCATTAAATGCAAACAAAAAAAGGAAGAGGTCTTGGCAGAATAGGAGAAGTGATGCACACTTGATGTTCAAAGCGCATTTAAATATTATTCATGGCATATAGCCTAGTCCATGCTCTGGCTGTAAAGAAAAAGAAATACATTTAAGAAAATACGTAGTTTTCAGCCTTGATTAAAGTAACTTCAAATTCATATTCTTAAAGATCTCTTTTATACCCTTGCTGCAAGCACACAAAATACATCCATTCTGAGATTTTTAAGTGCAGTTTTGAATTCCAGCAGCTGTCAACTTTTATATATTACAGAAGCAGTCTGACAGCAGTGGATCCAATGTGAAGAGGCATAACATAGTAACTCTTCCCTTCCACCACAGCCTGCAACAGACGCAACATCAAAGAGATGTTCTTTCTGGAACCTGTTGATCAGTTCCTTAAGCTGTAGAGGATGAGCAGTAGAATGCTCCTCCAAATTAGACAGGCTAGCAAATCAGGACCATCAAAACTCAAGATAAGACAGATGAAGAAAGCTTTTTCTTCTACCAAGCCTCACAGACTTAAAAACAGACCACTGCAGTTACATTCAGGGCACCTGGACTATGACTGTATGCAGTAATTTTTTGTTTCTGCAAGCTGCAGACATAAAACAAGAGGTCAGGATTTACATACACCAGCAAATAACAAGCTATTCCTAAAACTAGAAAAAAAGAAAAGGTAGAAGATACATCACCTGTTTCTATGGCTTGGGCTTCATTGGTCTTCCATTGCTCAGCTACATCATTTGCTAGTGGATCATCTGGATTGGGAGCACTTAACAAAGCCTGGATTGATAGCAGAACTGTACGAATCTGCAAAGCTGGGGACCATTTATCTGAAGAGACATTTATAGCACTATGAAACACCATATTCAGCACAGTCTACAGAAATAGCAGGTTTTTTCAGATTAAAGAAGAAGCAAGATATTCTTTAAACATATGAAAACTCCTTTTTAGGGTCAACTTAAAAAATTCTGTACTTAATATTATAAGAAGAAAGAAAACATAGTAGTACTTACCTTTCAAAATATCTAAACATATTCTTCCCAGCTTGTCTACATTAGGATGGTAAATTTTGGTCATGAAACGTACTTTAGGAGCTGCCATTGGATATTCTTCTGGAAGGAATAGTTCAAGTTTAAATGTCCCACCCTCAAAGGGGGAATCCTGTGGACCTGCAATGACCACATGAAAATAGCGTGCGTTGCTTTCATCTGGCTCCGCTTTTATCCCAGGGACGGGCTCTGCCAGCAAGCGCTGGGTTTCCTAGAAGAAAAGGAGGCAATGTAACAAATAAGACCCGTTTAAAACAAACATGACTTGTAAAAAAAATTTTAAAAGTAAAAACCATTCATTTAGCCTACATTCACAGAACCAATCCTAAACAAATACCTTAAWGAACATCTGCAGAAAGAAGATGGGGCTGTGTGGCAAACTGGTACCCATATCCTTTGAGATCCTCACCTGCTGTGTGCTTCTGTAACACACATTAAGAGATAACTCAGCTGTCCTCAAATTTCTTAACTTTTGATAAACTATTGCCAAGCTGCTATATTTTTTTTTCAATATACTTAAAAGCTCTTTAAAGAATACCACACTGGAAACAACAAAAGCATTTCCTATTCTACCTTCAATAGAAACTCCCATAAGTGAAAAGCCAAAGGGATTAATCACTCACAGAAAGTGTTCAAGGTTTACTCTTAACAAGAGTGGTCTTATTTATTAAGCTGAACATTTGTACTGGAATCAGATCCAACTTCAAAGAACTTTTAGTGCTACTCTGCTGCAACACTRAAGATGTATTTTGAGGATGTTTTATACATTTAGACATATAGATGCATAAATAGCTTTGATGTGAGCACTTTCAGACTACATATAATTATGTTTAAGGTCACCCTAACAGACAGTAGGAGACAGTCAAGATGTTCCATAAGCAGCAAAATTAGGGAAGAATTAGAAAAATCTCCTACAGTGAYGTGCTCTTTCTTTGATGCTCCCTTCTTCTGCCTACAGTACCAATCCTACCTCAGGCACCAAGCTGTGACCACAGCTAAGAGCTGCCCATCCTGCTAATGCACTGAGCAGAAAGACCAAGTCCTATACATCTTTGCCTTTCCTCTGCTGCCTGTTGTCACAAGGTTGATGGGCACCATTCTGGCTCTTATAAAAAAGATTGCAAGGCCAAAATGGGCAAAAGGACACTAGGCAGGGACAAGAAATCCTGCTAAAGCCTCACTTCCCCATGAAATTTTAACCCCATTTCCTGCTTTTCTTCTAAGCTTGCTTTTACTGTTAATTTTTTCACCACGCTTCTGTGTTGGCTTTCACAGAGAAAAATTATCCTGTTTCTACTGACAGAAGATGGCAACTTGTAGGTATCACAATAATTATTTCCGTTTTACAGCATATTTATTCCATATATCTACAAAAGCACTGATCATAAAATCACAGAATGGTCTGTGTTGGAAGGGACCTCAAATACCATCTAATTCCAACCCCCTGCCATGGCCAGGGACACCTTCCACTACACCAGGTTGCTCAGAGCTCCATCCAGCCTGGCTAGAAACACTTCCACGTACAGGGTAACGACCACAACTTCACTGCACAACCTGTTCTACTGCCCCACCACCCTCACAGTTAAGAATTTCTTCCTAACATCTTATTTAACACTCTCTTCCTGTTTGGAACCACTTCTCCTTGTCCTATCAGTACACACCCTTGTAGCCAGCCTCTCTCCAATACAATAAGTCTCTCTTTAATACAAGCACTAAACAGATTACCTCTACTTGGCTAAATAAATTCTTCAAACATAACTGGACTGCTACATTACTCTTGTAAAAATAAGCATACATAGCATGATATGGCTGTCTTGATGCAGTTAAGTAACACCTCATTTTACAAAAACTAATAAATTTATAAAGAAGTGAAGTCACAGTAATTAATGCCAAAATCCAATTACTCTTCTCCGAATTGTCAAGGTCCTACAAATCATAATACTGAATTTATTACTATGTACATATGCAAACCTCAAAATAAACATATCTGGTGTGCATCCTTGTTGTGACTACATATTGTCTACTTCTCTGCATAGACACTAGATGCTACTTACACACCTCACTGGAAGGTCTAGAAGCTTCTTAGAACTGTCTACTTCTGTGAGTATATTTTAAATGAGACACACGATTTTATAACTTCCTTATTTGTATTCTGCTATTTACTTGTACATGAATTGTGAAGAAAAGCAGTTATTATGCAGTTATTATTATTATGTTATTATTATGTTATTAACAAATTCTTATAGCTCACATTCAGTGGTATGACAAGTCAGTAAGGAACCACATATTATCTCTGTAAATGCACAAAACATTCAGTTTCTTTCAGGAAGTTGTCAGTATGAGTGCTGCCCCAGGTAAATGGGACAACTGGGTTTCAGCCTATGAAGGACCATATACTTTTTGACTGTTCTGGCAGAGGAAGGTGTCTTACGCCAAACAAACTAATGCAAGCCAATGCAAAACTTAAAAATAAGGAACTTATGGAAAAGACCAAATTTTAAACTTCTTCACAGCAGGACTTTGGCAGAGATATGCTTGTAAACAAATCATGGCTTTGGTTCTGACAGCACACTCAAAGAGGTTTTTTTTAATATTAAGGATAACACATTTTAATAKCTGGGCTGATCTCAGCAGTCCCCAGCTCCCCCTCTGTCACCCTAGTCCCCAGAATGCCTCCCTAGTTATGCCAGTATGCTGACTGTAACTGTACTGGGCAGCCAATCCTGGCTTAAAATCACCCAGAATCAGCAGTTCTCTGGCAGCAGCATCAGCACTTCCACCTGCCAGAAGATCTGAGGGAGCAACGCCTGGCCGCAGACTGCACATTCTGCTACTAAAAACCATTTGTCAGTGAACAATGAGAGAGCCCATGTATGAGAAAAACCATTATTTTAATGAGGGCACCCTGTAATACTGAAGGGGCTATTCCACTGCGAGCATGTTGCCTCGCTCAGAGAGCCCTTCATGCCTCCRCATTCTGTGAGTGTGGTTATTTTGCTAATACAACACCACAGAAAAGGGGAGTGTGAAGAAAAGCCTTTATGCTGAACACAGCCAGATGAGTACTGAACCTACTCTGAGCCCATACAGGGCTCTTGTGGAACATCATTATTAGATTAAATTCCTTTAAGGAAGCACACCTTGCTTCCTGGGCTGTGCATGGAGCTCCATTGCTATCGGCATAAGTGAAGCTGTTTTCAAACAGAAATGAGGATGCATACTTTTAAGAAATCTGTGAGGAAACTGGTTGACACTCATCTTTCACACCTGGCAGGTTCTGGTGCTGCAGAGAGCAAGCACCAGGCTAAACTTCTCCAATACACTTGAAATGACAGGCCATGACCCCGTGAACACACATCACTGCCTTTGAGCAAAAGCTTCAGAAAAGGCATCTTTTTATAACTGTGTAACACAGACAAGCTTGTTAGACTGTGAAAAATGTAGCAAAGACGCCATTTATTGACAAAATGTGCAATGTGTATACTTAAATACATCAACACCTCCTAAACTCTGACAGTAAACAACAGTTTTGTCCTGAAATTATGAAGATATTAACAATAATATCTTAATATATTTTGGGGGACACTATGGAAAAGGAACAGAAAGGGAGAAATTCATCAAGTTACATTGTAAGGACATAAAAATGCTTAAACGTACAACTAGGCCCAGTTCTAAGGTGATTACAGGGACTTGATTTCCATATTTAACAGTAAGATGGACAGTTACCGACACACTGATACTAAAATAAATTTGATCTGCCATAAAACTTGCAGAAATAAGTCACATTCAAGAAAAAAAAATGTCAGTATACCTACAACATTATGCACCTGCTCAGGAAACCACCTGCTTAAAGATTTTAATTCTTTTTAGTGTACTTCCCAGAGGATGGCTACCCAATGAAAAAAGTCCAATATGTTGAAATAAATAAATAAATAAATAAATAAATAAATCTATTTTAATTCTTAACTTTTCACCTTTTTTTCACTATCAGGGCAATCAAACACATGCAACATTTGACTTTCCCATGGTTTTTTAGGTAGTCTTTCTTACACTTTTTAAAATGAGGAAGTGAATTTTATGCACTCTGTTACTTCCCCCTTTTCCCCCAAAACTGCCTTAAACCTTTTGTCCAATTTCATCTGTTCCRTATGTTTTGTAAGCTGTTAGTGGCTAAGACTAACCAAGCTCAGTGCTAATGGAAAGACATGAACAACTCCAATACTACTGCTGATGTTTGGCCAGTTTATTCCAACCAGGTGTATACCATTCTTGCCCAGCAAAAATGCCTGACAATAAGGATAAAAAGAGCTGGAACATCCATATATAAACATGCTAAAAAGGAAAAAGAATAAATTCAGAGAAACCAGAGTTTTGGAGTCCGGCTGCTCACAATAAAGATTTTTACAATAGAACAGTTCATTTTGTCTTCACAAGAATACAAACACCCATCATGYAAGTGTTCCAGAATAGTCCTTTGTAGTGTTTAATAGCTCTCCTCTAGCATACTGAAGTTTCACACATGAGATTTCAGGACATATTCTGAAAGCTCTAAAGCTTTCAATGAAGTTTCCCATGCTGCTGTAGGCAAATATTTCTATTTGTAATACTCTACAATGTTTTTAGGTTGAGATTTCTTCTCGCTCCTGCATTTACTCCACTTTTCCCCATTTCAAGTAATGTAATAATTTCTGTTGACTAAAAAAAATTAATAAACTCAAAAGGAAGATACATGCCTGTCTGTACTGAAGAAAACACCAAATCTGTCAATCACAACTTGTTATGCCTTCCCCCCTTTTTTATCACCCATTTTTTATTTTTAATTTAGTGGTTAGAAAACACAGAAGTGTTGAAGGTGTTTTGACAAGCAAAAGGAAAGCTTTCCTTATTAACACAGGTGGCCTGAAGCAGAGTGACAGATGATACGGATGGGACACATGGTGTAGCTGCAATTCTGCACAGCTATTCTTCTATGAAGACATTAAACTGAAAACTAATTGTATCTGAGGGGGAAGAAACCCTCAACCTATTTTTACAGTAACATGYGAGAATAAGAAGCCTTGGGAAGTGAGAGTATTATGATGCTAGAAAGAGAACAGTGGAACAGGAGGTGGGGGTGAGGGTTTTTGAGGTTGCCAACAGTAAGAGAAGCCACACAACAAGGAGAGATCGATCTGCAGGGGAGTATGTTTCATTCATTCTCTTTTGCTTGGT